TTTGGCCAACTTCAAGTCCAAATTTGAGTAAGGCCTACACGTCTTTGGGGGTGGATCCAAAGAGATAACGTGTTCCTTGTCACATGATAAGTCACACGGTGCAAACAGTTCGCCAAAACCATTTATGAGCGAATGGGAAGTTGACGTCGTTTTCGGGTTCGTGGAATGGACAATTAATGAAGTAAAATGTGAGTTTCCTTGAAATGGCTGTCCCACATTAAAACTTAAAGAGAACTTATGTGTGTATATAAGATTTGGGTGGGAATACTTGGGTTGAATCCCAAGGGGCACCCCAAGTTTTTAGAAAGGAGAAATTATGGACAACGTAGGCTTTGGCCTAAATAACCACACGCGTGCGCACCACCACCACCGCCGTCCATCCGACCAGCCGAGCCGAGCCGTGCCGGATGGAGGTATGGGCCGAGTCGGTCCTAATATTAATTTTTTGGACAAAGTTTATTTGCATTTTTTCAAAAAAGTTTGCAGGAAAAATTTGAATTTTGTACCAATTTGAATTCAAATTTTTGCTCCCAACTAGTGTGTCTTTTCCAAACCAGTCCAAGTAGATTTAAACAGTTTTTTAACCTATTTTAACAGATTACGCCCAGATAGATTTTATTCTTCCCAGACAGATTTAAAATTGCCCAGCAGTTTCCAACAGATCAAACTTGTTTCAAATAGATTTTTGCACCTGTTCAGTTTATTTGCACCTGTTCGGATCTATCCAATAGTCACTAGTTTGCTTATAAATTCAGATTCATTCCAGCAGATTTTTTCATCCAGAAAATTCATTTCTCTTCCCGATTTTGCTCTCTCTTTGCATTATTCTTTATACTAGTTTTTTTTAAAAAAATTATGAGAGTATAAAACACAAGTTTTAGTTCGCCATACAGATTGTTTAGAGTGCTACTACAATCTATGTAAGATCATTGTATCATGGAAGATAGACGTCATTTATCTGTAAGCACCAGAGCTGGTCGAATCTATCTCAAGAATAGAGTGTCATACACTCGACTTGATCAAATTTGTACTTACTCGTTTCGATAAATAAATTCTGTAAATAATTTATTTTTATTTGTTTGATTTGGTTTCAACTTATTTATTTTACACAAAAGATTGTTTCAACAGTATATGCCAACATAGACAACTTTTCATCTTACATGGAAAGGCCACCAAGTTTATGGACTAATCATCAAGCTGAATCAACTGACAAAAGTTTTTGAAAAATGTTTCGATGTGCAATATATAATGTATGCGATATTAATGTAAAATTAAGTAAGTTTTACAAATTTATATAAGTGATAGTACAAAAATGCGTAAGTTAAATATAAAATTACGCGAGGTCATAAAAACTTAAGTGGTTTTGTAAATTTTCACAAATTTGTGTTCAATTTATAGATTTTTGTAAATTCACAAAAACTTATGTAATTATGTGCACATGGTATAATTTTCCAAAGATTTTTATGTTTGAGTTTGCCAAATGATTTTAGTAACTCATTATTAGTTAATTATTTAATTTATTTTTTCAATTTTTCAATTTGAAAAAGTGAAATTTGGAGAATGGAGGATGAGTGAGGCGTTTGCAGGAGATGGTGGGGAATTGGGAGGAAGGTGGGTGTGGGTGTACAAATTTCTTTTTTTATATTTTTGATAAGAATCATGAATGTATTAGAAGAAAAAAAAATCAAATTTTATGTTTAGTTTGATTTTAACAAAATTTAAAATTTATTTATACTTTAAAAAGATACAATTATACATAAATAATGAATATTTTTATTTTTTAAATTTTTACATCAAATAAAATTTTAATTAAAAAAAACACATATTTTTAAGGTCAATCCAAGCTATTCTAAAAAAGATCCATTGGTTTATTAGCGTGAAGATCTCTAAATTATTGATAAATATATTTGACACTTTAAATTATAAAAACGTATAAATTAACCTCCTAAATTATTAGGAAATATCACTGAAGGGGGAATTTGTGTCGAACAAATGGGCTGACCTAAATTTCATGTGGGCCTTTGATCATACAATCGAGTTGACATAAAATCGGCATTGGGCCAAACTGAATAAGCTTGGACTTTAGGCCAAGATAAGCCCACGCATCATACTTAAACCGGGTGACGGATCTTGACAGAGCTAAGTATGCGCAATGGAGAATGACGGGGCTAAGATGATGAAGGGGACCGTTGACCGAGCTAAGAATCTTAGTCAAGGTGAAGGGTCGAGTGGAGTTCGTCTGAGCAACGAGTAAATGACACGTAACCGAGTATAATACAGCAGATCGTGCTAGTAGATTTCTTCGAGAGCCAATCAGTCAAAGCTAGCTCGGATATGAAGCGACTTGGGCTTAACTGGTTGAAATTAGCCCAGTTGAAGATAGCTTATGTGACCCAATTGGAGTGCGATGAGGAAAACCTATCAATAGTACACATCAATACCATTTGGTTGTTTTGTCAATACTGTTTGGCAATATTGACATGCACACGTGTAAGGAAATAAGAGGGCAGTACATCTACGTGTCTAGCAAAGGACAAGCGAGGTAACGAGCGCACAATTTTGGAAGGCAATGGAGCAGTCTATAAAAGAAGCGCGACTCCACCAAGCTAAAGGCCTGCAATTTCTTACACTGAGCTCTCCTTACTTTTCTTTTTCTTTCCAAGGGTGCTAACTTGAATTTGGAAGGGGTTTTCTAGCAACACACCCGCCAGGTAGCTTACCTGAGTTCTGCTTCCTGGTAGTACAACGCCGTTCGGAGCAATGCAGAGGTTGATCATGAAGAGTGCAGAAGTAAAGAATATTTACTCCCTGTACAATTACTTTACCTCATAAACCATAAAAATATACAAATGAATCCCTAAATTATAAAAACGTATCAATTGGACCCCTAATAGAAGGGGTCAAATCCATTTATACACTTTACAAAATTATACTTCTCAATAATTTAAGAGATTAATTTGTAAATTTTTATAATTTACAGAATCAAAATAATATTTGTCAATAGTTTAGGATTATTTGTAAATAACCCAGATCCATTTACACTTCTCTTAAATAGTTTTCAAGCATAATTTATCCAAAACCCAAACTTCAAACTTCACTGCAATCACTACCACCACTGATCCATCACTGTCATGTTGTCACTGTCGTCATTACCACCACCACGAGGCAGTAGCTAAGCTCTAGGATGAGAGAAGTTTCTCTATGCTTTTAGAGAGACGAGAAGGATGAGGGATGAACTAGAGGGTTTTGAAGAGATGATGGAGAGAACGATTCCATTTTGGTCTAAGAAAGAGAGATAAGAGAGAAAAAAAATGCATTGCGTGTGAGTCCAAAAGATAGAGACAAACTACTAACACATTCGGGCCATTTGGGAGCCTTAATTCAAGCTACCAATCATTATTGAATTTATAAATAACCTATTGGTGATAAAGAGCTCTAGAGGTAGAGCTCTAAGCTCTACCTACGTGGCAATGAAAAAAAAAAAAAAGTCAAAACATCACATCAATAGATGAGCCCCACCCATTAGAGCTCCTTTAGAGCTCTTGGTTTAGAGCTCTCATCAAACATTTTTGTAAATAACCCAGATCCATTTACGCTAGGGGTGGGCGCAAGTCGGTTGCGGCCACGGAACCTCCAATCCGCTATCTGTCTGCCAGATTGACGAATTGAAAAAAATCAATCCGCATCCGTCCACCAATCCGGCGGATGTGAATTGAGCGAATTGGTGAATTGACAGATGGATGCGAATCGGTTTAGCAGTTTAAATTTTTATAAATTTTCAACATAATTCAACTTGTACACTTCTTCAAGAAAAAAAAAAAAGTATTACAGTCAATGAGTTAAAAAAATATTACAATTACTGCATGCCTCATCCAAAGAAAGAAAGTTTAAAACTTTAGAATATTACAACCGCTACATGCATCATCCACATATTACAATCATAGCATGCCTCATCCACATAAAGTATTACAATATGTGGTTCTTAAAATATAAAAACAATTCAAACCACCAAAACCATGAACAGAGCAGTAGTAGAAATTGTATATTTCTGTATTGTTACATCTATATCTATTTTTAAAACAAAAACCAACTAGCATATATCATCTTTTTATTTATTATTTTTAGAGTTAGATTTAAAAACTAAAAAATATAGATAAATAATACATTTATTTTTTTCAAATCAAAATATATATCCAAGTTGAAAACTCTTTTTCAATTGAAAACATAAATAGAATATCTAAACAAATTAAAAACACAAATTTTACAATTTACTAGAGGTGCTCGAAGGTTGGCGGTTCAGTTGCGGCCAAAGAAATCTCAAATTCGCTATTCGTCCAAAATTAGGCGGATTAAAAAAATCAACTCGCAACTGTCCGTTCGTCATTATGCATCCGTCCAAAATGCTGTGAATCGGTTCGGTTTGGTCGGTTTGGACGGATCGGTGTATCCGCTACTCATCCATAATTTATGCTTTTTCTGAACATGTTTGAAATAGTGGTGTAAATTTGGCCTGGCTCATGTCGGGCCTCGCGGACTACTGCCAAAATTCAGGTCGTCTGGGCCATGAACTAGAAAATTAAGCCCATGCCCAGGGGATATTCAGGCCTTGGACGGGCCAGGGCTTGGACGGGCTTAAATATTTTTTTAAAATTTTTTTTTACTAAAATTTTATTATTTTTCATTAAAAATGACACTGGACCTCCAACGGGCCAGACGTTGAGTGGGGCAATGGGTCGAGCTTCAAAATGACAGCCCAAACCCAAACACAACGTCTCAAGTTGGACTCGAACCTAAATCAAACTGGACCTAATCGAACCGGACCCATCCCATATCACGAATGAGTTTTGGGTTGCCCACAAACTCCAAGCTAATTTTACATAAGTGATATTAAGGATCTCGAATAATCAACTAAATTTTTTATCAAATCTCTTCTATAAATATAAAACTTACGCATATATAAATTTATGCAGATCTTACCGAGCATAATTCGTCCAAAACCCGAAATAGAGTACAGGTTCTGAAAGTCAAACGCCAAAGCCCAAACGCGATCTGGACGTCTAACTTCTCTCTCTCTCTCTCTCTCTCTCTCTCTCCACTCTCACTCAACGAACTTCAGACTTCACTGCGATCACCACCACCACCACTGATCCACTACAGCTGCCGAGGCAGCAGCTAACCTCATCATCCTGGCCGGGTCCTCTTCGCCTCCTCCGAATAATCCCCTGATTTCACTCCCAGATCTGAACCCCACCTTACTCCGCCGCCGGAAATGGCTTCTCCGGAAGCCGATTCCGGCCTAAACCAAGTCCTCATCCCAGCCCTTGACAAGATCATCAAGAACGGCTCTTGGCTCAAGCACTCCAAGCTCGTCCACCAGTGCAAATCCGTCCTCGAAAGACTCAACTCTCCCTCCAATTCCACCCCCACCTCTCCCGACTCCTCCTCCTCCCTCCCCGGCGTCCTCCACGACGCCTCCTCCGCCCTCGAACTCTCCCTCTCTGACTCCGAATTCATCCTCAGCCCCATCATCGCCGCCTGCTCCTCCGGCAACCTCAAGATCGCCGATCCCTCTCTCGATTGCATCCAAAAACTCATCTCTCACGGCTACCTCCGCGGCGAAGCCGATAATTCCTCCGGCGAAGGCCCCGAATCCAAGCTCTTGTCGAAACTCGTTGAATCGGTGTGTAAATGTTCTGAATTAAGCGACGAAGCGATCGAATTGTTGGTTTTGAAGACGTTGTTATCGGCTGTTACGTCGATTGCTTTGAGAATTCATGGAGATTGCTTGCTTCAGATTGTGAGGACTTGTTATGATGTGTATTTAGGGACTAAAAACCTCACGAATCAGACTACGGCTAAAGCGTCGCTGATTCAGATGCTTGTGATTGTGTTTAGGAGAATGGAGGCGGACTCGTCGACTGTCCCGGTGCAGCCGATTGTGGTGGCGGAGCTCATGGAGCCGCCGGAGAAGGCGGATTCCGACGAGTCCATGACAATGTTTGTGCAAGGGTTTATTACAAAAGTTATTCAGGAAATTGATGGGGTTTTGAATCCAGTGACGCCCGCGAGGTTGGGGTCGGGGGTATCAGTACATGACGGGGCGTTTGAGACCACCGCCACGGTAGAGTCCACGAATCCAGCAGATTTGTTGGATTCGACGGATAAGGATATGTTGGATGCAAAGTATTGGGAGATTAGTATGTATAAGACAGCGTTGGAGGGGCGAAAAGGGGAATTGGCGGATGGAGAGGGGGAAAGAGACGATGATTTGGAGGTTCAGATTGGGAATAAGCTGCGAAGGGATGCATTTTTAGTGTTTCGAGCTCTTTGTAAGCTATCTATGAAGACACCTCCAAAGGAGGCATTGGCGGATCCACAGTTGATGCGTGGAAAGATCGTGGCATTGGAGTTGCTGAAGATTTTGTTGGAGAATGCTGGAGCCATCTTCAGGACTAGTGAAAGGTACTTTTTGGATGCATTTTTAGGCGACCCTATTTTGTTACATTATGCTAGATTGTTTGAAATCCATTACTTGTTTAGTAGTTAATTTAACCTAGTGTTCAAGATTATAAATTTTAGTTTATGCACCTCTCTAACTTGTGTTGAAAATGGGTCTTAGGGTTCTCATAGTAGTCTTATAAGTTTTCTTAACATGATTTTTGGTTTGAGGATGTAAATGGTGAGATATCATTGGGATAGAAGTGGAATAGGAGGTTTGGTGTTGTTCAATAGTGGTTGATTGGTTGTTAGGCAAATGACTGTCACTAATGATATGTTTGATCAAATGATTTGGTCGTAAAATGCATACTGAAGTTGCATGAAGAATTTTTTAGCGTAATAGATTTGGGAGTTTTGAATAATATTGTTACTAGAACTGGATTTAAAAGCAGGAGAAGAGAAGGGTAATGGAAGAGTGAAACATTGTAAGAGTATTAAAGGAAACAAGAACTGGAAAGTGACGTGGAATCAAGTGTGAGGACAACCTACAAAATACATAACCTGGAATACTAAGAAAGCTTTATGAATTGAAGTGTAAGCATAGGGATAATTAGGGTGTTCATTAGCTTGTTATACATTGTTTGGTTTAAGCTCTTAAGAAAATTTGATAATGTAACATGGTATTAGAGTTATGGTTACAAGAGGTCTTGGATTCAATATTGTAATCTGTGTTTGTTTCATCATTGTGCATGTATGGTTGTGTACCATTTTCAGTTTAGTTTATTTGCCTCTTCATGTGTTAGACAAGGTTCCACCATGTATGAGGATGTTAAATAGTTTGATATATAATATTAGGCCCTTGGCCTACTGTCCATGTGTTCTAGTCTAGAGAATTTTGTATGAAAAGTTACTATAATTCTCTAAAGAGATAAAAAAAAAAGAACAAAAAAAGAAAAAAAAAAAAAAAGAATCTTAAGGGGTTGTTTGGGATGACCTAAATAAATGCATTTTTTGTCTTTTTACGAAAAGATGTGCAGAAAAGTAGAGAGGTGATGTGATGGTAAAAAGATAAAAAATGGATTATTTTTGGGTTGCCAAACTTGGTGTGTATGGAAAAATAGCAAAAGAAGATCATGAAACAAAGAAAGCCTGATTAGAGGTGAAAAAAATATATTTTAGCACACGTATGTAACAATAAAAGAGTATTAATGTGTAATATGTATAAAATATAAGAGAAACTTTTTCACAACTGTGATTTCAACCAATTTGTGAAATCTCTTATCGGTTCCAACGCCAACAAATCCAACCTTCTTCCCATCCCTCTTTCTATGTATTTACTTGTATTTTACACGGCGAATGTCACATCCCTCTTTCTCTATAATACAAATCCAAAACATGTCATTGGCTGGACCACTACCATCAAACTCCCACCACCGAACTTGTTTACACCTCCTCCACAGTGCCACCCCCTTTTCGTTATTAAAACGAACCTGTTGATCTCTATTAACCATTTATACTGTTGAGTTTGATGTTGGTGCTGATGGGTTTGATGGTGGGTTTGGTATTGATGCAGTGGTGGCGTTGGAGCAGGGACACTGTTTGGTGGTGTGTTGGGGTACAGAGAAGGGTAAGGAGGTGGGGTAAGGGGGAAAAAGGTGATGACTAAAGAGCCCGGACATAGACACATAAATTTTCAAAAAATCAAGACGTTGTGGACAAAACATATATAATTTTATATATTTATTTTATGTCAAATATTTAATCTCCTCAAATTCATCAATCTTTAAAATATTATTCTGGTAAAAAAAATTACGTAAAAAAAAAAAGTTGAGACACAATGTGTGTGATTCCTTCCAACATGTCCAATACGTGTCCAGAGCATGTCTATGTCTAACAAATATTGTACACCAGTATGTGACCTCCAGAGAGGGGTTCACGCTTCATAGGATGACAGTGGTTAGTGGTGGCGGTTGAGGGAGGGATGTGGCAGTGGTCAGTGCAAGGGGAAATAGGAAGGAGAGGCAGATTTTCCATGAGAGGAAAGGGAGAGATGATTAGATGTGGTAGAGTGTATGTAGTCGGTGAAAAAAATTTGCTAGCCTCACAAATTTTGTGGACATGACACATGAAACTGTGAAAAAATTAATTGGAAAATATAAATGGTGGGTGATGTTGAAGTGCAAAGAATACTCTTCTGTCGAATGCAACACCAAACCTAATTGTTAGGTAGTTGTGAAAGGGTGTTATTAAAGCTAATTATTCAATTATTTGTGGCTAGCATTGGCGAAGGTATGGATGGGGTTTTAGGGATTTGAAGGGTGTTATAAAAGGGGTCGAGTTTTGAGGTTTCAACGAGGCATGGAAAGGCACAAGTTTTGGGACTATTTGGAGCTAAGATCCAATAAAATGGTTTGATCCAAATTATGATCTGTGCTTGAACTGCTATGTCTCCTATGTCTAGCAAATTTTGCGATTACCAAAATAGCCTTCACAAAACTCTTAGGAGATGGGAGATATATGATGGACCTGTGAGTATTGTAGAAGAGCAATAATAGGAATAAGTGAATTTCTTGTAGTCATGGCCAAGGTTATATGGACTCTTCTTGTTCCCAAGGGCATGGGATATATTTTTGACCCTCTGGTACTCTAATATATAGCAATGGAAGAAGAATACCATAATTGACGGTAACTAATTTTTTCCCTTCTTACATGGACACAAAGATGGAAACCTCGGTTTCCCATTGAATCTCATTTAATTTCAAGTTTGTAATCATTTCTTGCTTCTCACATGAATAGCAAGATAGAATTCCCATTTTCAAACTGAATCCCATTGTGTTTAAAATACTCCTTAACTAAAAACTAAGAAGCACGGACACTTCTAAGAAGGTGACGTATCCGTGTCGTGTCCGTGTCGGACACCGACACTCTTTGGACACTCTTAGGACACGTGTCCGATACTCTTCAAAACGTGTCCTATTTTTTAAATATTTTTAAAGACCCGGACGCTCTTTGGACACTTGGAGGACACACGTGTCAATTGTTTAAACACATGTGTCTATTGATTATACATATGTGAAACTAATTATAAGTTTGAACAAAACAACTTAAGATACAATAATAAAACAAAAATCATATAAATTTATAGGAAATAGTGCTATATTGTATTTTTTATTATCTTTGAATGATATATTCTTATATATAATATATAATAAATATATAAAATTATATATTTCATGCGTGTCCTCCACGTGTCGTGTCCTGCATTTTTTTAAAATTAATGTGTCGACGTGTCCGTGTCGTATTCGTGTCGTGTCACGTGTCCGTGTCCATGCTTCTTAGACTAAAAACATCATACGTTACAATCCTGTAAAAACAAAATGCATCTGTGCTTAATGGAAAAAATAAAATAAAATGCATTTATATATCAAGGACATCTCCAGGTACTTGTGCCCATCTTTCGAATACATATCCCTAAATTCATAAAGCTTGCGGAATTAAAGAGTTTTGATGCCTACACACACACACACACACACACACACACACACACATCCTGCAGTCCGTACTCATACTTGAGTCTGTAATTTTATTTGATAAGTATTGTGTTAAAGAAGAGGCACGAAGGGTTGCAACCTGTATACATAATATGGACAAATGACCTATATCATCTGTACCTCAAAACCTACTAAAAAATATGTACAAATGGATAATGCAATGCGGTTTCATATAATTGTGACCGGAATATTTTCTGTCCTCTTGCTTCCTGGATTAAATATACTCTTTTTACTAATGAATTTTTCCTTTGCATTCACGGTCTTCTGAACTTTCTTGTGGTGGAACAGATTTTTAGGGGCCATTAAGCAATACTTGTGTCTGTCATTGTTGAAGAACAGTGCTTCAACCCTTCTGATTGTTTTCCAGCTTTCTTGCTCCATTTTCATGAGTCTGGTGTCGAGATTTAGAGCTGGATTGAAGGCAGAGATTGGAGTATTTTTGCCTATGATTGTTCTCAGAGTTTTAGAGAATGTTGCTCAACCTAATTTCCAGCAGAAGATGATAGTGCTTCGGTTTCTTGAGAAGCTTTGTGTTGATTCTCAGATCTTGGTTGACATATTCCTTAATTATGATTGTGATGTGAATTCAGCTAACATATTTGAGAGGTATGTTTCTAGGCAATCTTTTATTGTCCAGTTTTTGTTTATGATGCCATGACGCAGGAACCATTGACAATAATAAGCATTATTATTTACTGGCAGGCACATTGCTTGTCTTTCCTCTTAATAGTTATGATTGCATTGCTTTGATTATGACATTCTGAACTATGTATTCTCTCTTTTATTATTTTAATCTTTACGGAATGGTCACTGAACTATGTATTCTCTCTTTTATTATTTTAATCTTTACAGAATGGTCAATGGACTTCTTAAAACTGCTCAAGGTGTTCCACCTGGTGCTGCCACTACATTGTTGCCACCGCAGGAAGCAACCATGAAACTTGAAGCTATAAAGTGTTTAGTGGCAATTTTGAAGTCGATGGGCGACTGGGTGAACAAACAGTTGCGCATTCCGGATCCTCATTCCCTAAAGAAATTTGAAACAGTTGAGAATGGTTCTGACTCTGGGAGCCTTCCCATGGTGAATGGGAATGGAGATGAACCTGTTGAAGGATCAGATTCCCATTCTGAATCCCCCAGTGAAGTTTCTGATGTCTCAACAATTGGGCAACGCCGGGCATACAAACTTGAACTTCAGGTAGATGAGAATAAAATGTTCTCACTGCAAGACGCTAAGTTTTTCTCTGATTACTCCAATGAAATCTAATGTGAAATATATGGCAGGAAGGTATATCTCTCTTTAACCGAAAACCTAAAAAAGGTATCGAATTTCTGATAAACGCGAATAAGGTGGGGAATTCAGCAGAAGACATAGCAGCTTTTCTTAAAGATGCATCTGGTTTGAACAAGACTTTGATTGGTGATTATTTGGGGGAAAGGGAAGAGTTTTCACTGAAAGTAATGCATGCATACGTGGACTCCTTTGATTTTCAAGGTATGGAGTTTGATGATGCAATTAGAGCCTTTCTACAGGGCTTTAGGTTGCCTGGTGAGGCTCAGAAGATTGACCGTATCATGGAGAAGTTTGCTGAGCGTTACTGTAAATGTAATCCAAAGGTTTTCACCAGTGCAGACACGGCCTATGTCCTTGGTTACTCTGTTATCATGCTGAATACGGATGCTCATAACCCTATGGTTAAGAACAAGGTATGTTTACGAACTGCATTTGAAGTGATTGGATTTCTGAACACAGAATCTTGAGCTCATTGTGATTTTGTCTGTAAATTATGCAGATGTCAGCTGATGATTTTATAAGAAACAATCGTGGCATAGATGATGGAAAAGATTTACCTGAGGAGTTCTTGAGATCATTATTTGAAAGAATATCAAGAAATGAGATTAAAATGAAAGAAGATGATTTTGCACCTCAACAAAAGCAGTCTACAAATTCAAACAGGATTTTAGGATTAGATAATATATTGAATATTGTGATTCGTAAACGGTGGGAAGATAAGGATATGGGGAGCAGTGATGAGCTGATGAGACACATGCAAGAGCAATTTAAAGAAAAAGCTCGCAAATCTGAGTAAGAGACTATTCTTACGCGCTCCCAATGTATGAATGCTAGGTACCATCAGGCACTTATGTTACAGGGTTTACAACTGAACTCAACTTATCGCAAATACCCTGGGCTGGCTACACACTTTTTAAAGCCATGCCAATACACCCATAGTTGTCAAAGGTGTGCCTAGGCACCAAAAATTCCACACATCAAGTCTTGAAGCAAGGGCCTCATTCTTTGTCAAGCTAGGCCCAGATAATGCCCTTTGGCATGCTAGCTGTGAGCTCATTAGCTCAATAAATGATATAATCATTGAGAATTTAATCAAGGATATAGCTCTAAAAAGAGATGAAAGCTATCCACAAAGAAAAAAATAATTACTGGGTTCAGGGTTGAGAGAGAGAGAGAGAGAGAGGGAGAGAGATGAAAACAATTTAGCTTTAGAGTGGGAGGGATGATGAGATAAAGGTTAACGTAGCTGAAGCCAAGTACTTGCAATGTGGCCTACTTCGGTGTTTCTCTCTTCTTGTTAAGTGTGTCATTTTATCTTCTGTGAGAGACATCCTGATCTTCTTGTTGATATTGAATCGCTTTTCTCAATTTGTAGGTCAGTTTATTATGCAGCAACAGATGTTTTGATCCTTAGGTTCATGATTGAGGTGTGCTGGGCTCCTATGCTGGCTGCCTTTAGTGTTCCTCTTGACCAAAGTGATGATGAAGTAGTGATAGCCCAATGTTTGGAAGGTTTTCGTTACTCAATCCATGTTACATCAGTGATGTCCATGAAGACTCATAGAGATGCTTTTCTGACTTCACTTGCAAAGTTTACCTCCCTCCACTCACCTGCAGATATCAAACAGAAAAACATAGATGCCATCAAGGTTGGTATTTCACTCTGATGTACGTCCATACTGGAATAGAATTAAGCTGTAGCGTTTTATTTACTTGGAGTGCTTTTTATCTTTAAAATAAAGCTTTCTGCTTTATGCTTTATCTTTTATCTTCAAATAAAGGTGAAATTCAAAAGAAACAAAGTTAATGTAAAAGAGGGAAAATAATACCAAAGAAGGTTGAGACACCTTCATGACAACAAGAGGAATAAAAGGAAAAATAAGTAAGGAATAAAGAAACACAATGAATTTCTCAACCAAACTTAAGGAAGGGCTTGCTCCTTGCTTTCACCTCCATACTGAAGTGGCTGTTATGATATTGTGAATTGCAATTAGTGATCGTTTATTGATTCATCTGCAGACTTAAGTTGGCTAATAACTGGGATAAGGTTTTGTCCTCTGTTTCATATGAGCCTCTCATTCCTTCCTTTTGAATGCATGCAAGAACTTAGTTTCTGTGTGACATCTGATTTTGGCATGGAAGCATTCACTATAAGGGCTTATGAGAAGACAATTTTTGAATGTTTGAGATTGGCTACTTATGGATGATAAATCTATCTTAGAGACATAAGGCATAACTCTGATTGAAATTGTTACACGGTCGTGGGTAGAACCCAACCCCAAAAGCTAGCTATTGAGGTGAGGGTGCCCTCACGCTTATATGCTTAACATTACTTTAGTACCCAGGCAACGTGAGACTTCGCTTCACACCCTCCCTCATGCTTAGTGTACTCACTTGGCAGCACCTGCGGTGTGCAAGCCAGGGATATGCACCCTACCCATCCCTGTGTACTTCAACTCTGATACCATGTTACACGGTTTTGGGTAGAACTCAACCCCAAAAGCTAGCTATTGAGGTGAGGGTGCCTTCACGCTTATATGCTTAACATTACTTTACTACTCCAGTGATGTGGTACTCGCTTGACAGAAATAACTCTTTGTTGTGTGCAAGCAAAGTGATTAACTTGTATAGAAGAAATAAAGGTTTTTTTTTGAAAGAAAGGTGGACTAGCATTGGATGCTCTTTAGCTTTTAAAATCTTGCATGTATCAAAGTTTGGGACTAACAGATTCTGGTGTAGGTTTAAATGTAAGAATGCACACTCTATAACTAACGAAGATAATTTTAGTAAACAATGAAGCAAAACTGTTGGTCATCACAAGAACCATGCAAGGTTGTAGTTTGTTTGTGACATGAAGTAATACAAATATTTTGAAAATGGTTAAAATGCCAAGGAACCTGTTCCTTGACATTGAGAACACAGAAAAACTTGTTTATATATTATCTGCTCACTCATATATGTTCAATGAATAATTGCATATGAAATTCCAGGATTTAATTTACTAAAATCATTTCAATAGCTAATAAATTTTCTGACTCTGATTAAATTGCTTTTCGCTTATGAAACTGGCATTGTGATTTGGCATTCTTCATTGTTCAACAGGCAATAGTTACAATTGCAGATGAAGATGGGAATTACTTACAGGATGCCTGGGAGCATATTTTGACGTGTGTTTCTCGGTTTGAGCATTTGCATCTCTTGGGAGAGGGTGCTCCTCCAGATGCAACTTTCTTTGCTACTACTCAGAATGAGTTGGAAAAATCAAAACAAACAAAGTCAAATATCCTTCCTGTCCTAAAAAAGAAGGGACCTGGGAGGCTTCAGTATGCTGCTGCGGCTGTGAGAAGGGGTTCATATGATAGTGCTGGTATTGGTGGCAATGCTTCTGGAGGAATTACACCTGAACAGATGAGCAATTTAGTGTCCAACTTAAACATGTTGGAACAAGTTGGTGACATGAATCGCATATTTACACGGAGTCAAAAGTTAAACAGTGAGGCGGTGGTTGACTTTGTCAAGGCCCTTTGTAAGGTCTCTATGGAAGAATTGCGATCTACCTCTGATCCACGCGTCTTCAGCCTCACAAAGATGGTTGAGATTGCGTATGAATCATCTTCACTTTGTCTTGTTCCTCTCTTGGGTATTCTTTGTCAATGATTTTATGTTTATAGAATTATTAAACTGCTTTTAAAGCAATTGCGAAGATACTATGTGATTTCTTTTCTTTTGAACAGGCACTATAACATGAACCGTATTCGACTTGTGTGGTCAAGCATCTGGCATGTACTCTCTGAGTTTTTTGTTACCATTGGCTGTTCTGAAAATCTTTCAATTGCAATTTTTGCAATGGATTCTTTGCGCCAGTTATCAATGAAATTTTTGGAACGGGAAGAGTTGGCTAATTATAATTTTCAAAATGAGTTCATGAAGCCTTTTGTAATCGTTATGCGCAAAAGTGATGCTGTTGAAATCAGAGAATTAATCATCAGATGTGTCTCACAAATGGTTTTGTCTCGTGTCAATAATGTCAAATCAGGATGGAAGAGCATGTTTATGGTATTGAAATCGTCCCAGTCTCTCATTCTCAACCTCATCTATTTTTAAATTCATGTATTAAACCCATGTTGCTAAGCACATTGCCATTGAGTTTATCATGATGTGATCATTTTTCAGGTCTTCACAACTGCAGCTTACGATGACCACAAAAATATTGTACTCTTGGCTTTTGAAATAATTGAGAAGATTGTGCGAGACTATTTTCCGTATATTACTGAGACTGAAAGCACTACTTTTACAGATTGCGTGAATTGCCTGATTGCATTCACTAATACTAGGTTCAGCAAAGGCATTAGTCTCAATGCTATTGCTTTCCTTCGTTTCTGTGCGGCAAAACTTGCTGAAGGAGATCTAGGATCCTCATCAAGGAATAAGGAGAAGGAAGCTTCTGGAAAGATTTATCCATCTTCTCCTCAAAATGGAAAAGATAGAAAACAGAACAATGGAGACTTGACAGTAAAGGATGATCATCTCTATTTTTGGTTCCCCTTGTTAGCTGGTGAGGAAAATGTTTGACTCTGTTTATTGTGGTAATCAAGTTTTCAAAACAAATTCTCTTTAAGATATTTGATGTATAATTGTTCTTTAGATTTGGACTCAAATATGCATTTTGCTGTTCCTTGCCCAGGTTTGTCAGAACTTAGCTTTGACCCAAGGGCTGAAATCAGAAAGAGTGCCCTACAAGTACTCTTTGAGACTTTGCGCAATCATGGTCATCTTTTTTCTTTACCTTTGTGGGAAAGGGTGTTTGAATCAGTCCTATTTCCTATATTTGATTATGTACGGCATGCTATTGATCCTTCTGGTGGAGGCTCACCTGATCAGGGGATCGATGGTGATATGGGTGAGCTTGACCATGACGCATGGCTCTATGAGACATGTACATTAGCCCTCCAACTAGTTGTAGATCTTTTCGTCAAGTTTTATAACACTGTCAATCCACTTTTATGGAAAGTACTGATGCTACTGGTAAGTTTTATCAAGAGGCCTCACCAAAGCCTAGCTGGTATTGGTATTGCTGCATTTGTTCGTTTGATGAGCAATGCTGGGGATCTGTTTTCTGATGACAAGTGGCTAGAAGTAGTTTTGTCACTTAAAGAAGCAGCCAACACAACGCTTCCTGATTTCTCTTATATTGTTAATGGAGTATGGAGCAATGAAGAAGCTTTATCTCGACAGAATAATAATGACACTACTGGTTCTGGTATGCCCGATGATGACTCAGAGGACTTGAGGAGCCAGAGTCTTTATGCTGCTCTCTCTGATGCTAAGTGCCGAGCTGCTGTACAACTTCTACTAATTCAGGTAGAAAAATATCTTCCTTTAGTTCTGGATATTGTGTGAATTATTCTTTCTTTACATGTATTTGTATTCATGTATGTGGCTTTGTATTCATGTATGTGGCATGAGCTCAGTTAACTGGTAAATTATATATGTCTTTGCATTCTGCAATTATGAACTTGTTCAATCCAAGTGAGAGTGGTTACATGGTGAACTACTGGTTTTACAGAAGGCCTAGGACTACCAAGTACTTGTGTCTAAGAAGCACGGACAGAGACATGAACACAAACTCTGAGGTTTTGAAAAAATTAAGATATGGGGACACGGCAGGAATATGGCAAAAAGAAAGAAATAAATTATTTACTATGTATATGAATATAAATTTAGGGCACAAAGATATAAGAGGCATCAATGTATATGTGGGTGTCTTTTGTTTTCATGTATTTTACTTTAACCTTAAATCATCTTTCTAAAATTATAAAAAAGGTGTGCCCAAACACGCGTGTCCCTAAAGTGTTCTACAAAAAAATATCCATTAAAAAAATTGACACCCCAAGTTGCATGTTAGAGATGTGGACATGTGTATCCCTGGTGTGTCGGTATCCCAACACAAACACAACAGCCATTTTGTAGTGTTGGTGCTTCATAGATGATTGTCATTATGATTTTGGATATGTTTGGTTAGGATTTGTAGAGTGATTTTGGGGAAATTTTTCTAAAAAATTTGTTTGATTTGTAAATTTTCTAAAACAATTTTCAAAATCACTCTCTCTTACCTATCAATCAATCATTTTCTCTCTCTCCTCTCTCCTTCTCAATCACTTTTTCTCTCACATACATCTACTCAATTATAACAAAATATCAAATCATTCCAAACTCCAAAACTCCAAAACTACTTTCAAAATACACAACCAAACAAAATAAAAAAATTTCTAAACTCTCTCCCCAAAATAATTTTTAAAAACTACTCTCCCAAAACCAAACCAAATATACTCTTTATTTTTTCTCTTTTGATATTCTTTAAGAACTTAAATTAAGAAATATATTTGGGGCAGGGCACTCTGGAAGTCAAACACCCGACCTACCAAAGGTTTAGCTTTTGAATGACTCTTGGGAACCACTCATGCAGAAGTTGTGGTGGGGTTGTGAGAAATCAGAGACAATGAAGTGATTGCGTTAGTGTGAGACAGAAACTTCAGTTTGATTATCTCCCTTTGATGGAACTTTTATGGGAGCAATTAATCACTTCAACAGTATGAGAACTTGTATAACTATTTTTTTTTTTTTAAAAAAAAAAAAAAAGGAATAAATATTCAACCGAATATATGACAAAATATTATCTGATCCAGATGATGTAAAATATTTAACGTTTTTCATGAATGCATGCATGATGATGTTCCCTTCGAAAACTATAAGTGATATTCTCATGTAGCCATGTTTGACATAGGTTCACTGACAAGATTGAAGTTGTGATTATTTAACTTGGAAATGTGGAGAGAAGCCTTTGAACTAAAAGGTATAAACTAGGTCTCAGACAGAACCCATGGAATTTTAAACAAAATATGGAAGTGAGTGATTAAAGCTGATGTACAAGAAACTTAAGGTGCAGTTATAGAAAGGGACACAAATTTGTCAGGATTTTGCCTGTTTGATTGAAGAGGTATGGATGGAGTTGTGAAATTCCCTTTTCAACTTGCCATAGTAAAATGCTAGAATGGAAAAAATATGGTATGTTATTGATAGCATGGTATGAATTTTTTTATTGAATATGATGAACAATTCAGTTTAAAATAACAAGAAATGTAAAAGATATGGATTTAAAGAGGAACATGCATAATGCAATGCTGGGTTTGATATCCCCCTTCTTTGCTAAGCCGGTCAATTTATAATTTTAACGAAGTTCAATAATGTTAATGAAAAATATTTCTTCTTTGAGAGAGAGGAACTTGACATAGTTTGCCAACTGTCCTCTGAACGTGTTTGAGTCTCCATTTTAATTTGTTATATAACTAGTTTTAGCAAACTGGATTTGAGATTTTTCTCATTATATTTTTGCAGGCGGTGATGGAGATGTACAACATGTATAGACCACAGCTTTCAGCCAAAAACATCTTAGCCCTATTTGATGCTTTGCATGCTATTGCATTTCATGCTCACAAGATAAACAGCGATATTACATTACGTTCAAAGCTACAAGAGCTTGGGTCCATAACCCAAATGCAAGACCCGCCACTTTTGCGTCTTGAAAATGAGTCTTTTCAAATTTGCCTGACATTTTTACAGAATCTTGTACTTGATAGGCCTGAAAAATATGAAGAGGACGAAGTGGAGTCTTTCCTCATTGACCTTTGCCGAGAGGTTCTACAGTTCTATGTTGAAATTGCATGTTCTGAAAAGATGTCCGAGTCATCTGTTGGTGGTGGGTTCCCCCACTGGTTGATTCCTTTAGGTTCTGGTAAACGGAGAGAATTGGCTGCACGTGCACCTCTTGTTGTCACCTTAGGAGATGGGAGATATATGATGGACCTGTGAGTATTGTAGAAGAGCAATAATAGTTTCCCTTACTCTCGAGTTTGATAAGTTGTGAGCATGGGTCCAATGAGGTTCAGGTTGCCCTTAGTGAAATGCTGAGCTCATCAGTGGGTCCTGTTTTGCTCCGATCGTGTTAATCTTGGTGCGACTTGGCCTCAAGTCTTGAGAGGTATGATATTATTATCCCCCACTTGCAGTTCTCTATTTCTTCTATTCTTCTATCCAATTTGTAATATTCCTTTTTTTTTTTTTGGAAATATAGTTTGATAGTGTATGAAGAGTTAGCATTGGTTTTTGATTACCAAGTGCTTCTGAACCTTCTGTGGTTTATTCAGGGCGCTTAGTTTTTTAGAAATGCACAGTTGTTACCAGGAATTTTCATGTTGTATGTGATGTTTTTCTTCTGGATATTTTCAGAACAATAATTCCATGTAAAAAGAATTGCTTATTCAGCATTGAAGTCACATGTTATCTTCAAAATCTGATTATGTAGTGATTATTATAATTTTTGGTAGTGTGGCTAATTAGGAATACGAGTTCATTTAGTTTTTTTAATCTCTAGGTAGTGATGGGAGAGATTCTCCATTTCTTTTTTTAACTATTATTATTATTATTTTACAATCGATAGGAGGGGCAGAGGAGAGGAGAAGCTGCACGGTATGGTGATTGATTTGTAGGTATGCTTATTGTGCCTGCAACTACCCTCTGATGTTTCATTTGATGGAATGATGGAAATTCATTTTGGGTTGAGATGTGGTTGTTGATTGTAAAAAGGAATATTAAGTTTGGTTAAATTTGACTGATGTCCTTTGATGTCATATTTACCTTTCTGATTAGGGATAATGCTAAAGTTGCATCGCACAAGAATGTACAGATGATTGATTGTGATCATGCTTATCAAATCCCTAATCAGATTGTTGGATCTTAAAATCTTATGATCTCAGTCAGTTTAATCAAATGATTTGGATTATATTAGAATTTTAAGTTTATGTAAAATCTTAGTAACTATGATTCTAGTCATAAAATTATGTAGAATTATACCGCCATTGTTTTTTGTATTTTGTGTATGCATATAGAAATTTTGATTAGAAGTTCTATCTCCAAATGTCTCCTCTTATTAGAACTTTCATACGGAGCTTCAAAGAGAATGTGAGACTATTTATATAAATGATTTCTTCAAATTATATGAATCAAAATGTTTGGAGGGAGAATTGGGAATTTAAATCAAATTGATTGGAAGAGGAATTGAGAATTTGATTTTTCTCGAAAATCAATTTTAATAACCATTTATAAATTGTCATTAATAAACCGTGTTAGGAAATTGCTAATTCCAACAAGTAAACGTCATTTTTTATTCGGATTGGGTTAATGTTACGATATTTGGGATTGGAAAAAGGAAATTTGAGCTGATCGAGCATTTATTACTTGGGCTCTTCATATGATTTTATGTATGGTTTTATCAACATCCATTGTGTTGGAATAAATTCATGACTAAAGTATATATAATCCGAAGGAGTTGGCTGAATAGTAAAAAATTGAAGATGAGATTTTAGATCTTAAGTTTAAGTTACAGAAATGGTTACTGGAGGTTTACCTAATTGTTAACTTATAAAACTTTGAGATTATTTGAGATGTGTGCAAACTGACTTGAACACTAAAAAAAACTAAAGTCTAGGTATAATTGTAGTGTTTTGTTTTTTTGGATGAATAAAGCTACATAGTGTTGTTTGGTTTGATGTACTAAAATTAATGTTCAAACTTAGATACCTAAATTCCTTTTTGTTTTGTTTACATAGTTACTCTATTCCTGCTATAAACTCTGTGATCACCTTTCAATGGATTTCCTGCCATGCGGAGTTGGGCAATGGTGACAGAGAGGGCATCGACGGCAACAATGGACGTTGATGCAGATTTTGTTTAGTTTGATGCAGATCTAACTTTTCAAATCTCATCTATGAGAAGATCGGTGATTTTTCATAAATCATAACTGATTTTTTGACAGAATTGTTATTTTTTTGTTTTATTCTTTAGTTGTTTGTTTGGTCTTTTAGGGTCTTGTTGTTTGCTTTATTTTAATATAATTGCTTTTCATGTTCTTAAATAAAATAAAATAAAAATAAAAATAAATTTTACGTTTGGATCATGGATTTGGGTAGTAATTTGAAAAGAAAAAGAGAAAAAATGAGTGCAATATAGGTGAAATGTAATTATATTTTATTAATATCTTATCTACTTCTCTTTTTATTTTCAAATTCTTATCTAAATTTATAATCCAAACAAAGCCTAACAGTTGACGTCAGTCTGATAGCCATTTTCATATTAGTGGCTTAACTTGATCCTAATTAGTCATCACATTCTTCTCTTTCACAGTGTGGAGTATTAATCATATTGTCATTTTCAGTTGAATGTGGAATGGATAAGCTAGGCTTGACTTTATGAGCACAAGCCTTGGAGCAGTGATAAAACTTTGTAGTATTGTGATTTGAACATTACGGATTTAAATTACAAAAATAATCTCTATCAAGGTAAGATTATGTACATCTCTGAACTTTTATAAATCTGTAGTGGGGCCGGAGCCTTGTACTTGTCTTTTGCTGGTTTTGGTTTCATTAAAATACTATGGTCTCAATTTTTTTCCTCTCTTGTTTCTAGTTTTTTTTTCTTCCATACACGATACGATGAGTCGATGGAATTATTTAAAATTGGACTTATGGGAAAAGTGGGACAGAGGATTTGGTTTCTATCAAATCACTTCAATGTGCCATGTTACAATTTTTTGAAAATTTCTTTGATTTAGCCCTTTGTCTAGGAAAAATTATTAGTGTTAATCATTGCACTTAATTTATTAATTATATACATAACTAGAATTTGGACTAATTTAGATTACATGTTGGAGCCTCTACTATTTAAATATCATGTGGAAGATAATCAGAGCTATATTGGTATCTTGCTTTCACATCAGAATATATTAGGAAAAATATGAATTGGGACAGCAGCCATCGTTGTGCAGTTGATTGACTTAATTTTGGAGTCCATTTCAATAATCTAAGTTGTTCACTTTTTAAGGTATATTGAGTAGAATATACCTACAAAAATCAAGTTGATTGGATATCGATAGTCATTGTGAGTGTTGATTTTTGACCTCACAACCAAACAGATCTCACTGCCGAGATTTAGGGAACTCAGGTGGAGAGCATACCGAAGAATAGATTAAGCTAAACACCTGCACCCAAGAAAGCAAGAAATACCGTGGTAGCTTGTCCAAGCCGGGGCACTCCAATGAGTAACTTATCTCACAAAATATCAACAAAATTACACAACTCACAAGTAAAAACATACTTTAAGCCCATGAGGTGCCTTATACTTTTGTAACTAGTAGTGCCCTCATCCACTCGAAGTCTCACTTTATAGGACTCAAGTGCAGCATGTATCTTAGACTTTTAGTTAGATAAGAATAATTCCATTAAAGAGCATCATCTCTATCTAAACTAAGCGTATCAACTTATTTAGAACTATTGTCCTCTATTTGAATATTTTAGATTCCGATATTACCGCACCATATTTCAGCAATATCAAAACAATATCGGCATCATGGCTCGTCCATGTGGCGCGACCCTAAAAATATCTCCCCACAACTTTCCCCTGGGTTCTATTACCTTTCCAACCCGATATGATGGAACCTATATCGTCTAATCTTCCAACATGTCAGCTAAACAACATGCTAGAGATACCCTTCTGATCGAAATCATGACTCGTCGGCTTCATGAAACAAGGACTCAAATGTCCACTCATCAAAAACCAAGAACCAATAATTAAGAATCAATATTGTTAGACTTATTTATTTTGATGATTTATTTAATTATGTTTTAATTTATTTGAAAGAAAAAAATAGAATCCAAAATTTATTTTGATGATTTATTTAATTATATTTTAATTTATTTGAAAAAGAAAAATAGAATCAAAATTTATTTTGATGATTTATTTGAAAGAGAAAAATAGAATCAAAATTTATATTGTCCCATTATTTCTCACCTAAACCTTTATCCTAAATATTGTTAGAATGTATTTAATATTTGATTAAATCAGGAGTTCAAATAACCCAAAACAGAGGTTCAAACAGCCCAGCACAGCAGCAGGCCAAAAGGTTCAAGTAGAAGATATTCAAATTAGTAATGATGGAGTACAACGGCTATAAACGACTATAAATTCAAATGAATACAGCGGCTATAAACGGCTATAAATTCAAATGAATATAACGGTTATAAACGGCTATAAGTTTCATTACATATACCAAAGCCTTTAATGTAAACAAGTGACAAAAAAATCAAAAAATATTCTTTGATCTAATCACTCACATTTATTCTCTGAAAAATTCTCTGAGAAATGTTTTTCAATTTTTGTTTACATCCTCTCTCAGAAATTATACACTGAGCCTTACAGCATTAAGCTCATTTTTCCTGTGTGAGATTTACAGAAAAATCAAAGTTTCATTTTATATATCTATCTTTGAGAGATAGTTGTTGTAAACTTTCTTTGAAAACAAAAATACCATTTCATCTTGTAAAAGTGTTGCAAACACTGTGTTCTTGAAATCTTAAGAGTGATTATGAATCACCTAAGATTTGCAAGGATTTGGACTTTGAAGTCTGTGTAAAATCCGTGGAGGATTGCTTCATTTGTAAAGAGGTTGCTAGTACCCCTGTGAAGCTAGAAGATAGTAGTAAATCTCAAGTGAAGCTTAAGGAGTGGATATAGGCTTGGTTGAAGCCGAATCACTATAAATCTGTTTGTCTCCTCTTCCCTAATCTCTTTACTTTCCTATTACTGCTATAGCTATCTAATATTCATGTGTTAATCATTTGATTTACCCTGTATGTTAGTTATACTTCATTGTTATTTTGGTTGATCATTTACTGCTAAGTTCATCATTGTGCTTGTTAATAATTTGTTGTATTAGTAGATGTAAGTATTGAAGAAGAACTAGGACCATTACCTCAAGAATCAAGCAAAAGAGAAAAGCTTTGATGGGATTCCTTCACAAATCCGAACTTCAATCGGTTGAAAAGTGAGATCTTCAAGCATTCTTCACTTTTTTGTAAGGGATCTTGCCCAATTCTTTAAAAAATTAGAGGTATTTAGGCCAAAATCTCTAGGGTTTTTGGACTAAGGGTGAGATTGAAATCTTGAGAGTGATTGTGAATCACCTAAGATTTGCAAGGGTTTGGGCTTGTGAAGTCTGTGTAAAATCCGTGGAGGATTGCTCCATTTGTAAAGAGATTGCTAGCACCCCTGTGAAGCTAGAAGATAGTGAAAAATCTCAAGTGAAGCTTGAGGAGTGGATGTAGGCTTGGTTGAAGCTGAACCACTATAAATCTGTTTGTCTCCTCTTCCCTAATCTCTTTACTTTCCTATTACTGCTATAGCTATCTAATATTCATGTGTTAATCATTTGATTTACCCTGTATGTTAGTTATACTTCATT